CCCCCCCATTTCTTTGCATGTAGATGTCAGGTCTCTTCTTGGAAAACTTAGGTTTACCATATCTAAAATTATTACAAGTAACTAATGATGAATAGCTAGCTTATCAATGCAAGCAAGAAGGTTTTTGTTTATAATTATTTGATGTTTACAGAATGCAGATAACTTGTTTTGGTAACAATTATATATTCTATCAGAAATACCAAAGCTGGGCAATTGATGGCAATTCTTGGATTAAAGCATTTCTACAAAGTAAGACAAAATTTCTTCTGAGTTTTTGTGTAAAGTGCAAAATACTTGTGTGCACTCTGAAATACCAATTTTTGCCTATCTACTTTTGTGATTTATAACATCCAGAGTAGATTGCTGATGATAACAATTAGAGGAATCTCAGTCAAAAGCTTTTATCTCCTGTCTTCGTTATCTCTGATATCATAGGAAGTGCCAATGGTCCTTCATCCACATCCGCAGAAAACGATGGGGCCGGTGCAGGATCACTGCCGGGTACAGCTGCAAGTACTTCCTCAGAACAGAGCCCTGAGGGGGCAACAGCTGGAACAGCAGCTCCTGCACCTGCTGCCCTGACCACACCTCCGGTGTCAAGACAAGTCCAGCCAGTAAATCCTCCACCTCAGGCGCTTACTACAGTCAGCCAAGGTCCTCTTCCACCTGGGTAGGAGCTCAATTATTTAGTTAGTTAGTTAGTTAGTTAGTTAGTTTGGTGACGTGTCTGTTCATTTGGTTGGGGGGTTGGGGTTTTCTTTGGGGCAGTGAGAGGGGTTGGATTTTTGTTGGTTGTTTTTTGTTTGTTTTTACTTACAGTATGTATTACAAAATAAAACATTCATAGCATCTGCCTTTTGCCACATTAACAAAAATTCCTGCAATACTTAGTTTGGAGGTTTTCATAACCGTTTGCTTCGGTAGGCCTTCAAGCATGGTTTATCCAAGCAAGGAATTGAACTTTCAGATGTTTCTGATCCTTGTCATACTTTTCCAAGTCAATGAAACAGAAAAGTTTTACCTAGTGTGACAGTTTGCTATTTCCAAATTACAACGAAGTCAGGTAGTAAAATATTGGTGTGGATAGGTAAAAGGAAAGCTGCTATTGCAGAACATAATATGAGGTCTCAAACGCGTCCTGAAGTTTTGGGCTTCATATACCCTAGCTTCTGGGAGCAGAAGCAGCTTTGAGCAGCTTTTTGTGATTCGGGCACGTGTGGAATTTGCCAAATGATCAGTCCATTGCCTCAGCCTACTTGTTCATCTTCTAAACTTCTACTTTAAAAAATATATGTATTTCTAGACACTGACTGAGGGGAAAACAAAGACTTCCCAATGTAAATGGTGTAGTTGCTGAAATGTTACCTGCTTTAATTTGCTAGTAGTTGAAGCAATATATGGGAGAAATTTGACTTACCTCACAGGGTAATTCTGAAGTACAAAAGCAATCTTGAAAAAATCAGTTGTCACTTTGATTTCAATTTCAATAGAAACAGTAAATTAATATGCTTTTTTCCCTACGCTATAGTTGATGCAAATGCAATAATAAGTCAGTGACCCAAATGCAACATGTACAGGAAGTACATCATCAGTGCCTTTCTGAAGGATTCTGCAGATATGTGATCTGTACAAAAAGTTGCATATTTGGGGGAATTAGAATGATAATATTCACTTAATTTAACACCAGATTACTCTCAACAGGTTACATTGTTTTAATATTCAATACAAAACATTGTTTCATTGCTTTCTAAAATTGCATGCGTAGGTGTGAAATTTAGCTTCAGTTTCCCTTAACAGGCAGTCAGGTAAAGCTTTTTTATTCTTTGCCTAGTTGAAATAGAATTACTGTTAATGTGGACATCATACGACTGTATATTGTACAGCGTTTTGTTGCATCTCATGAACCAAATATTAGTTGAGGTGTTTTAAGTGCAGTTTATTTTTATAAAATGCTTATTTATAACACTTCTCATAATTGCACAGTAGATGAATGGTTGGAACAGTTTTACCTGAAGAAAGATAAAATTATTGTTTTATTTTTAGTTGGGAGCAAAGAGTAGATCAACATGGTCGAGTATACTACGTAGATCACGTTGAAAAAAGAACGACGTGGGATCGGCCAGAGCCTCTTCCTCCAGGGTGAGTCAGGAAAAGTCATCTGATTGTCTGAGATATGTCTGGACTGGGTTTGTCTAAACTTAATTGATTGGCAGTTTACTAAAGCTAGCAAGCATATTTGTAAATAGCAATGTGACTGCAGTGCAAGCAATTGCTCCAGGATATCTCTGGTGAGCTCACCAGAAACAGCTCGTAGTATGGGAAGGAGGTGAATGTCAAAAATAGCAGAATTAGAATTTAACTTTACTGTTAAAGATCAGGCAAGCGCACCTTTATTGAGAAACTGGTCCAAGTTAAAGAAAATAGGTGCCCCCAACCCTAAGAGAGAACCAAAACTGTAGGTAGGTGTTTTGAGATTCATCTTTTAGCTTTAAGAAAGAATGCCCTTGGCTACCCCTTTGTCCTGGGGTTATTCCTTTCAGTCCTTTAGTCTTGTCTCAGGGTTCCCAGCTGCTGATTTACTGTGCTTTTATGAAACCTCCTTTATTTGTGCTAAATCAGACTGAACTTATGCTAGAAAGGGCGTAAGGGAATCTTGTACTGTATAGGCCACCGTGTCAGGGCTTTTTGCAGTTTTTTAGGAGAAACCAGAAGACTCTTATCTTCAGTGGTTGGGAGGGATAAGTGCAGTAATGACAGTACAGTAATGACAGTGGTTTATGTAGCACTTGAAGAGTTGGTTTAAACTGCTCTGAAACTATTTTAAAAGAACTGAAAGCACAGTAAATGGGATGAGTCTGACTTAGTATACCATGGAACAGAGTAAAAGTGATTCTCTTCAGAAAGAATTTTAGCTCTCTACAGGTTTAATGAAGGGTAGAGGAAGAAGAAGAAAGTCTACTGATGAGCACATGCTTTTATATCCAGTTCTAAACATATTGTCTCTTTGCTTTGCAATTAGTCTGACTCTCTAAAAGTGCTTCTTAGCCTTAAAATTATTGTGTGTTGTTGAGAACCGTGCTTGCAATTTTTTTTTTTTTTTTTAAAAGCTGGGAGCGACGAGTTGACAACATGGGGAGAATTTATTATGTTGACCACTTCACTAGAACAACAACGTGGCAGAGACCAACGTTAGAATCCGTCCGGAATTACGAGCAGTGGCAGCTTCAGCGCAGTCAGCTTCAAGGAGCTATGCAGCAATTTAATCAAAGATTTATCTACGGGGTAAGGAATGTAGTGCTGACTATAGAAGTTAAGTAAGAGAAGTATCTTTTCCAAATTCTCAGCCTATGAAATCATAACTTCCCTCTCTTCTGCCTTTTGAAACTGTATATGTACTTAGTTTTTGGGAATGCTTATGGTTGACTTTTCCCAGTAAAGATCTCAGACTTTAATGGTGTGTTTTATTCTTTGTGATGTATTATACCTTTGTGTTTGTTGTTACTTCCTGCCATACAATTGGTAACCTTAGCTTGTGTCTTTGCAACAACTGCAGGCAGTGCATGCAGTGTAATGGTTTTTATCTATCAGCTGAGTATAGCTGATGTGAAATTTCTTTGGTAAATGTTACGTTTAATATTGAAAAAAGCCAGTGGTTCAAAACAAACTGCAGCTTAGTAATAAGCTGTTCTATTTATATCGAGTCTTGCATTGGTTTGGCCAAAGACCAGGGAGGAAAGGTAGCTCAGAGGAAACCAATTATTCCTACTTAGGTAAAATGTAACATGCACAATGAATGTTATGAAAGCAAGAGGATTTAAAATAACCGTTCCAGACTTTCAAAACCAATGTTTACCTCTCCTGAATAGTAGACTTTAGCTCCAAATAAAGCTACAAGTCTATCAAGAGCGCTGTAGGTTCTAAATTACTGTTTGTGTATGGAGTAAAAATGTACCTCGTACATGGCAGTAGGGAGAGCTGTACTGAGTGCAGGAATAAAGGAGAGGTACCCGAGAACTGGAAGAAAGAAAATGTCACTCCAGTCTTCAAAAAGGACAAGAAGGAGGAGCCAGGGAACTACAGGCCAGTCAGCCTCACCTCAGTCCCTGGAAAGGTGACGGAACAGCTCCTCCTGGACACCATTTCCAAGCAGATGAAGGATAAGGTGATCAGGAGTAGTCAGCCTGGATTCACCAAGGGGAAATCATGCTAAACCAACCTGATAGCCTTCTATGATGGAATGACTGTCTAGGTAGAGCAGGAGGGAGCAGTGGGTGTTGTCTACCTTAACTTCAGCAAGGCTTTTGACACTGTCTCCCATCACATCCTCATAGGCAAGCTCAGGAAGTGCGGGCTGAGATGCACAGACAGTGACATGGATGGAGAACTGGCTGAATGGCGTATCTCAAAGAGGGGTGATCAGTGACACAAAGTCTGTTTGAAAGCTAGTAACTAGCAGTGTACTTCAGCGATCAAAACTGGGGCCAATACTGTTTAACCTCTTCGTTAGCGACCTGGATGATGGGGCAGAGCTACCCTCAGTTTGCTGATGATCCAAAAGTGGGAGGAGTGGTTGATACTCCAGAGGGCTGTGCTGCCATTCAGAGGGACCTCGACAGGCTGGAGAGATGGGCAGAGAGGAACCGCATGAGGTTCAACAGAGGCAAGTGCAGGGTCCTGCACCTGGAGAAGAATAGCCCCGTGCAGCAGTACAGGCTGGGGGCTGACCTGCTGGAAAGTAGCTTTGCAGACAAGGACCTGGGAGTCCTGGAGGACAGCAAGTTGACCGCGAGGCAGCAATGTGCCCTTGTGGCAAAGATGGCCAATGGTATCCTGGGCTGCATTTGGAAAAGCATTGCCAGCAGGTTGAGGGAGGCAATCCTTCCCCTTTGCTCAGCCTTAGTGAAGACATATCTGGAGTACTGTGTCCAGTTCTGGGCTCCCCGGTATAAGAGAGATATGGAGCTACGGGGGAGAGTCCAGCAAAGGGCCACTAAGATGATCAATCAAGCTACTAGAGCATCTGTCATATGAGGAAAGGCTGAGAGAACTGGAATTGTTTAGCTTGGAGAAAAGAAGACTGAGGGGGGATCTTATCAACGTATATATGTTTCTGAAGGGAGGGTGTAAAGCAGATGGGGCCAGGCTTTTCAGCGGTGCCCAGCGACAGGGCGAGAGGCAACAGGCGCAAACTGAAGCACAAGTAAGCTCAATCTGAACATGAGGAAAAACTTCTTGACTGTGGGGGTGACTGAGTACTGGAACAGGCTGCCCAGCAAGGTTGTGGAACCTCCATCCTTGGAGATATTCATAAGGCATCTGGACAGTGTCCTGGGTAACCTGCTGTAGGTGACCCTGCTTGAGCCATGGGGTTGGACTAGATGATTGCTAGATGTCCTTTCCCACCTGAACTATGCTGTAATTTTGTGATGAAGTGATTTTCTTCCTGATTGTTTTGGGTACTACTGTATTGATTTTTCTATGTGGGCAGGTGCACTTCACAAAGAATACTCCCTTTATTGGCCCTGGATTTAATTAACCATGCCAAATGCTGTAAAAATAGCTAACAGAAGAGCTTTCAATCTTTAGTACCAAGAAGTAAAAGAGCCCAAATAAATGACCAGTTTGTAACAAACCTAGGACTCCTCTGTGGAGAGGAAGAAAAAAAAAAAAAGTTCTTGGCATCTGCTATATGAAACATTAGCAAAAATGCATTTACTTCAATAATTTATGATGGCTACACTTAGAACATCTGGAAAGCAAATGGATAAATGGCTAGTTATTAACACATCATTTGTTTGTTTGACTTGCAGAACCAGGACTTTTCTTCCACACAGAACAAAGAGTTTGATCCTCTTGGCCCTCTGCCACATGGATGGGGTAAGACTGATTGAAGTAGTGTTTGGTAGCATAATTTAATTAAACATTAAAGCATACTTCTGCCAAGTTTTGTCAGGCACTTTTTTTTTAATTGTGAAAATCCCTATTTAAAATCTTCCTAAATTAAATCTAATCAAATGTGCTGTTAAAGTACTGAGTCCAGACAAGGATGTGTGGTTCCAAAATAGTTTTAAAAGTATGAAGTATACAGTTTTACTTCCAGTAACTACCATATTGTATGGCTTCTTTCATACTGTCATCATTATCTTCAGTATTTACATTACATAGGAGTTTTCTCCTCTGCCCCCTTCCCCTGTTGTATAGCCAATTCTTGGAGAGTTTGATCTGAAAAGTTTTTGTAATAACAAATAAGCATCCCTCTTCACTTCCCCTCCCTCCAACATAAATTTGCAGATTTTTTTGCAGTTTGTTTTTAACAATGTACAGTTAATATAACTACTTTCTGTTTGTGTACAAAAATGTAAGTGTAAACTAATTCCTGGTTCCAATATTGGATCAGATAAGTGACTATGAAGTATATGTAATAATTCAAGTCTGATGATACATTGGCAAATTTCTAAGGGGTGTGTAATTTGAATATCTTAATCCTGGGTTTTTGTCTTAAGGTTTTTCAAACATAACTATTTGGATTTTTAGTTAAGTTAGGGATGCAATTTCATGTCATAAAATAGTTGTGCCCACACTTGTGCCTTATTGCACTACTACATAACATTTCAAAAAATGTTGTTCATTAGACTGAAACAGGCCCAGGAAACAACAAAACAGTGTTTCCACGCAGCGTAGAATTTTGCTATCAGTATGATTTCTATGGACAAGAGTCTGCTTCCAGACCTCTCTTCTGAACTGAAGCTTGTTACCTGCTATGGTCAGATGTTGGTCTGATTTTATAATTTGGATTCTATATTCTGTATTTTTTTTTTTTTTTTGCAACACTAAGTAAAAATTTCGTGAAGAACTGCAACATGATGCCAGAAGACCAAATCTTGGCATTTATCATAAATACGTTTCAATCGTGGGCATAGGTTTAACTATTTGAGTGAAAGTATTTATGTGTTCTCTTGGAATGTGTGCTGATTTTTTTTCTTGCTGATAATTTGAATATGTACGATTATTCCACTGTTCACATGGCAATGTAATTTCTTGATACTTGTATATATGTCTCTAATATTCAGTATAGACAGCAAATACAAAATGGGCCAGGCACATGGCAATAATCAAAGCACCTGTGGAGAAAACTGCTTATGATTTTGTTTTTTTTGATTTAATTTTTTCCTGTAATTGAAAAAAACAAATAGCATAGTAAGTGGTCTTTAGATAGAAGCTTCAGCTTTATCAATATTTTAATCTAGTTTAAAAAATTAACTTTGAAAAATATCTGAAAAGGCTTTTTAAAAATTGTAAGCAGTAGGCCAATAGATCAGGTGAAGGTAAATCTCCCGTGATGAACTTTCCTTCATGCAAATGCCTATACTGTGATGATACCCAGAATCTCACTTGTGATCAAGATTTCATCATGCTCTAAGCCTGGGCAGATGTAGATAGCTGAGCTTGTCAGGGTAAGCTTTAGGACATAAGGATCTTCTTATCCATGAATGCGTAAGTGCAACTTTTCATTGAGGATAGGTGATGGTGAAGTTTTATATGGTTATTAGCAGTCAGTATTATTAAGATAGATTCCTGTTGCTGAGTAGACTATTCAGGAGTAATGTCCACGCAAATTAGAAAATGTTGAGTCAAAGGAGGTACAGAGAAATTCAAAGACGGTAGAGGCTGGTGCAGGGGCTGTTTTGATGCTGTTGTTTTTATTTTTCATTTGATGTAGTCTGAGCAATACATTAAGCAGGTTTTGAAATATTTTCAATGTTTACTTTTCAGAAAAGAGAACTGACAGCAATGGCAGAGTGTATTTTGTCAATCACAATACACGTATTACTCAGTGGGAAGATCCCAGGAGTCAGGGGTAAGAAATCAGTTACAGTTTCACGTAGATCTGGAATGACAATTTCACAAAGTGGGTGATATTGAGAGCTGGGAGACATGACTCACGACTGAAAGATGGGTTGTCCTACACAGACTTCTCAGACAGTATCACTTAAAATATATGCAAAAGTATGAGGCAAAATGGAAACTATCAAAACGTTGCTTGCCAATAGCACAATTATCAGGAAAGTCTTGGTAAAGAGCAATATATTATTATTTATTAGACAATCAGTAGCTAAGAGACAGAAAGAAAGTAGACAAACTCCAAAAGACTGCAGCACCTTCCCCCGCCTTCCCTTCCCTTCCTCCCTCAAACCAAAAATACCTTCTACCGAACTTTGGACTTTAGATTAAGATGGAGGTAGAAGAAAAACTTCAGGCACTACTAAAAGTAATGCAGGTACTACTTTAGTTCGAGGTTCAGTTACTTTGACTCTGAAGTGGGGAGCGTCAGCAAGAAGTTGAAAATGAAGGATGCTCTGTCCCAGCTCCTCCATACTTGAGCTGAAAACTTCCATTTGGTGAAGAAACTTCATCTGTTCCTCACAGAAAAGAAATAAGAGGAGGAGGAGCAGAATGACGTGATATGTGGGCAGGGGCTGTTGGCTTTAGCCGGAGCGGGCAGCTTTTTCATCTGTTGCATCTATGGCACCTGACTAGGTAGAAAAGCACTATGATTTTTAATAACAACCCAGCAACCAAAAGTTCTGGCTTTACAGTTGGAAACATGGACTTTAATGTGGTTGTGTGGAGGGAAGTCCAATCTGAAAGTGCTGCGGTGGAATGATACTACTCAGGTCTTCCACTTGTCTAAATGTAAATGGGTCTCGATACCAAACTTGAGTTGGAAGTTATCAAAAATTATACAAGATGGGTGCATGTATTTTCTTGATATTCTTTTATTTTGGTCACCCTGAAACTCTCCCTTTTTGACTACTGTGATTATATGTGAGGTACCAAAATGACATTAAAATGGTGTCAGTTTTAGCATAAAAATCTAATAGCTGGAATGTAAAAACTCTGTTACTTAAGTGGAGGAAACATCCATAAACTTTACCTAGGTTTTTTCCCAAAATTTCTGTTGCTGTTATTCCAGATAGTGCAACTGTATGAGCTAATGCTTATTTAAGCAAGCGTTTTGGTCTTAGTGGTAGCTGACATTAAAATTTAAGATAAAAACAGGCAGAATAAATGTTGAACAGAAAGTGTCTCAATCTGTCATTTTTTTTTCTTCAGATCTGCTAAGTTTTTTACTGACTCAGCTGTTGATAAATTGGCTTCACGTATTAAGTTGATCAGTTACCATATATTTTGTTGTATCCACAGTCAATTAAATGAGAAACCCTTACCAGAAGGCTGGGAAATGCGATTTACTGTGGATGGTATTCCGTATTTTGTTGATCACAATAGAAGAACCACTACATATATAGATCCCCGCACGGGCAAGTCTGCTCTGTAAGTGTTTTTAAACTTTGTATTAGGCTTTGAAAAGTAGAGTTTAGGCATCATTTTTGGAAGTTTTTTTTTCTTTTCTTTTATGATTTCTGCAGGAGGTAGAGCAAGTAGCCAAGCTGCTTCATTTCCTAGTGTTTCTTCCACTGAGAACTGTCCCTGCAGAAGGCAGTGTTCTGAGCACTTCAGAATCTGTCTTGCCAAATACTGGATAAGATTTGGGGGTAATGGAAGGGATCCATCAGTACTTCTGATGACAAGACCCTTTCCTTCTAGTTATTGGACTTCCTTTTTAGATGCACGCTCAAGCATTTAGTTCCTTGATTCTTAGGAACGAGAATGGAGTTAAAAACGGAATTTAACTCCTAACTTAATTTATGTGAATGTCATCCCGTTCTTATTGTTAGAATCCTTTTGTTTGCACTTGATAATCAGATACTGTTAATAAATACTGCATATGCACCCCACAGTATTACAAAGGAGGTGGTTTTTTTTGTTTAAACAAGCAAATTACACCCCAAAAATCAAAAAATGTGGCGGAATAAGAGTCTTCCAATTAGATACGTAGCCAACTAAACCACCATACTACATAACTAATAAATATGCAGACAAAACACTGGAATTCATTTTTCTCCTTTTGGTTTCAGAGACAATGGACCCCAGATAGCTTATGTGCGTGATTTCAAGGCAAAGGTTCAGTATTTCCGATTCTGGTGTCAGGTATAGAACTATTTCTTGGGAATATTTGTTGCTTGTTTGTTTACTTGCTTTAAGTGAACTCCTCAATACCTTTCAAGTAAAGCTAACTGAGCTACTTTAAGGTTAAAGGTGAGTTAAATTAAGAGGTGATAAATACAGGCCTTGTGTAAACTCATGTAAGATTCAAAGCTAAGTAAGCTGAGGGATAGCTTTGAAACCTTTTAGACTAAAGGAAGAAATCAATTTAGTTACAGTGTTTTTGGAAAGTGGTAGGCTTCAGAATAGTGGGGTGGTTTTTTTGTGCTTTTAATAAAGGATTATAGGAAAGTACAGTAGTGATTTTTAAATATAGTTAATACAAAATCTAGTTTTTACACAATTACATTCTTCTAGAAGAAAACGCAGAGCCGTTGACAAAGAGCATGTATGTCTGATCACTGAAGAATATACTGTATTGCAGGTTAGCATATTCTGACATAATTTCAATTTATTATGTCAGTCTTGGTCCTTTAAACTTTAACTCTTGAGTTTAAACATCACAATTTTCAAGAGTCAATGACTTATCCTTTAAAAAACAGCAGCGACACTATCCTACCTAGTTTTTCACTTTGAATTTTGTACAGAATATCCTGAATTATCTAGTTTTTATTAAATTTTGAGATAGAAGGCTTTGCTGACTTAAAACATGTTGTTGATATTAATGCTTTCCTATTATCGTGTAAGAATACAGTGTTTGAACTTGTTCAAAGCAGTATCGGGATGTACTGTATACCTCACTGTAGATATGAATATTGGAAAAAGTTTGTTCTTGGAATAAATTAAAATTGAGAATATACTGATTACTGGTTTTATTTAATATGGGTTAGCGAAATTCACCTGAACCTCTTAAAACAACATGTACAACAAGTAACAGTCAAAACACAGTATTAGAAGTTTGAAATGACTGCACATTTCATCTCTGAAAAATATTTCATTTCAGCAACTGGCAATGCCACAACACATAAAGATTACAGTGAGCAGAAAAACATTATTTGAGGACTCATTTCAACAGGTATTTCATTAAAACATGTTTTAGTACTGGTTTTGAAAATTCAAATTGAACTTCATAGTCAGTTGTCATTCTTGATCCTTTGACATCTTGCTAATGTTTTTTAAGTGACAGAAACAAAAACTGATGCTTAAATAGAGTATTTAGGATGTAGTCATGCTTAATATAATAAGATCATGCTAAAATGTGATGTTCTGGCCCTCGTGACTGATCCACCTGACTTTCACAGAGTGAGTGATTATTTAGCTCAGTATTCTTTTGCATCTACTGAGTTAGTTTTGAGAGGAGTGCAGTGGGAGAACAGCTTCTCATGCTCAGGACGTTGTCGGTTATCTGAGGAAGTTATCAGTTTTAGGAAGTGGTTTTTTTTTTTTTTTGGTGGGAGTTTTCCTAGTAGTGTTTCGCATAAGCATGGTAACGTACCATGTAGGCTTATTACTATTTTGCTTTTAATTTATTTCTGAGTCATTGCTCATGTTGCTTCATTAAGTGTAGCTGGGATACCAGTCAGAATGTTATTCTAGAAAGCCTGAATTTACTCTATGACCCTCTCTCTTATTAGCCAGGTTTTTGCTGTATGTTTATAGGCAGGCTGCTGACCTAAATAGAACAGTCTTTCATTTAAGAATTATTTTCTTCTGTTACTTTTGCTTTTACTTTTTTATTACTTTTTATCTTTTACTTTTCACATCTATTAGCAGGAAGTAGGTTTGCACTAACCCCTCAAACGCCATGAACGTTTCCTAAGTAGGTAGCTTATGTACTTCTCGTAGTTCATTTTATGGTCTGACGTATTAAATGTTATATTGTTTGATAACAAATAGTAATAAGCCCAGCCAGTCCTCGTAGCTATTTTCTTCACATAATTGATTGTTTTTCTTTTACTAAGATAATGAGCTTCAGCCCTCAGGATCTACGGAGACGTTTATGGGTTATCTTCCCTGGTGAAGAAGGCTTAGATTATGGAGGTGTTGCAAGGTAAACCAAACTGAAATGGCAAGAAATCTTTTTTCTACGAACTGTTGGTGTGAAAACTTCTCCGAAGGAGATGCTTAGGCTGCAGTGCTTTAAAAATATTAGTGAAGTTTTTTTATCTTTTCTCAGAGTATCAATGCATGTCTTAAATATACTTTTGTACGGTTTTTAATTCACGTAAGGAATTATTTGACTGTCTCAGTGATTAGAGAAAAAAGATGCACAGTTTACAGAACTACAGTAAGCCTTTGGCAAAGTCATTAATATCAAAGTAAAGGTCTTTTGAAAAGTGAATAGAAATCCACTTTCAAGTCAGAAGTCTTTACTGGAATGTAACCAAAAAGTACCAATTAGCATTACCTAAAAACTGAAAACTTAGATCCGTGATAGCCTCTTAAAAGAACTAGTCTAATCTGCCCATTAAGGTAAGGGTGTCTTTTTCTAAGCCATTGGTAGTTGTATAAGGTGGCAAACTTGCATACTAATTCCTAAATTGTGTTAGTTCTATTTTGGTTTAGCCATATGTTCTAGAAAAGAAGTCAGGTTCACTGCCTATGTACTAACAAGTTCCTAAATCAATTTTCAGCGTATGAGTTAACTAAAACAATTTTGAATCTAATTGAAATGTGTTTTTTTTTTTCTGTTTATGTGATTTCAGAGAATGGTTCTTTCTATTGTCACATGAAGTTTTGAACCCAATGTATTGCCTGTTTGAATATGCAGGGAAAGATAACTACTGCTTACAGATAAACCCAGCCTCTTACATTAATCCAGACCATCTGAAATACTTCCGTTTTATTGGAAGATTCATTGCCATGGTAAGTTCAAAAGTAGAAAAAGGTTAACTCCTGTAATTTTTCCTATAGATAGATATTGTACCATTAGATGGATAATTATTTCATCTTTTGAGCTGAAACTATTATCAGGTATTTGGATATAACTGCCATTGGTATAAATGAATCAAATGTATTAGCAGACATGATATTTTAGGATACTTTAATTCTTTGGCTATCAAATTTCATTGGTACAGAGTACAGAATGTTGTCATATTGGGTATTCAATCATCCTTTGCATTATTTTGTCTGTTTTCATATTCTTCAGGCTTTATTCCATGGGAAATTCATTGACACTGGTTTCTCTCTGCCGTTCTATAAACGTATCCTAAACAAGCCAGTAGGACTCAAGGATTTAGAATCTGTTGACCCAGAGTTTTACAACTCTCTCATCTGGGTAAAGTGAGTTTGATTTGATTTTTGTTCTTGAAATAGCAATAAAATGTTTTTGTTTTGCTCTTATGCCAGGAAATAGATGTAAATTTATCACCAACACCCCCCTGAACAGTAGTATATATCAATTAAAGAGTAGTACTGGAGTTGCCCTTTCTGGTTTACTGAATACTCTGCACAGAACCTTGCATTCCATTTTTTCAGAATAGAAATAGCTAGACATAATACAGATGCGGTAGCCTCACACACTCTTCAGAATAAAATGGCTTGAGTAAATTCCACTGAAACACTTTTGATAATTGATTTTTAAAAAAATCAGAAAATATCCATTCGTTAATGCTTTCTTTCTAAAATACCTGGTTAGTTAGAAAACGTAAATAGTTGAGTGCTACAATAATTTGAAGTTAACAAATGTAGCTTATTACACACAATTGTTGTCAGTCATCCTTAAAATCTGACTTTAAGATTAATAGTTTAAAATTAACTAGCATACATTTTTCTAGCTAGCATTCTATTTTGGCACCAATCTGGATGGTTCAAGACCATTTCTACGCACAGTCTTCTGTGTATACATTGTCAGTCATCTGTCTATTTTACGTTCATGCCCTTTTTGAGTTTTGCCTTCTCCACTCCTTAATAGATTCCTCTCCAGAAAGTGGCAGGTAAAATGCATCTGGAGTTTTTAGACCACAGTTATTTTGGAAATATATGTTAAAAATATTTTTAAAAATAATTTTTAAAACCCTTCAAATTTAAAGGCACTGTTGTAACTCTATGCTTACTTGATAACAGCAAGATTCCAAGATGTTGTAGTCCATGGTTGATGTGCACCATTTAAAGTTTCATTGAAATAAAACATACTATACTTAATGTTAAAAAAAAAATCTATTTAAAAATGGTTTTAAATTGCTTTGTAAACTTCATAAAAAATTAAGATAGACTGATTATTACGAAATGGAAACTAAAAAGGCAGTAATATCTAAAAGGCATATATATATTTCATATATAACAGGTAATAATATCATCTTCTCTAGTGGTGAATCATGGAAGCGTCATCTGGAATAATGAAGAGGGGGGAAAGGGCTTTAGGCTGTATTTACAAATGGAGATGTGGATTTTGCTTTGGTTTTCAAAGAGTAGTATGTTCTGTACCCCATCATTTGTGGCTAAAAGGTATAATAAGTTAAAATTCCAGTGGCAAAACTATAGTTGATATTTGGACAAAGTTGCCATGAAACTGAGACCTGAGAGAGGAGAAAAGGTCTCAGAGCTTTAAGTCCTGATTCTTGTCATTAAATTTGCTGTTTTATAGTCAGATAATGTATATATTCAATTTTTTTTTTTTTAAAAGAAAGGGATCGTTTGCTGTAACCTTATGACCACAGGCATTTTAGCGATCAAGCAAATATGACACTGAAAAATGCAAAGTGTTTTTGAGAAAGCTAAAGAGAGGAAATTTACAGTAATTGATCTGTAATCGTGGGGGAAGCTATTACAGGCGAATGTTCTTGTGACTAACTGGTGATGAGCTACACACATAGTCGTTTACCTTATGAACGGTATCAATTCATTAATCATCTGTGGAGAGTCTAGAGTAGGATATTATTTTTAAGCTGTTATCCTTAGAGATAGACACACAAACGCAAAGATGTGACTAACGCACATAAGCTGGAGACTTGCGTTCAACACTGCTCTTCACGCATTTCATGGCAATGGCTTCCAATGATGACACCTGATACTTGCAGGGTCTTTCAGTACTGCTGGAGTGTCATATTTAATCCGCCTGGTTCTTTTGGACAATACATTATGTGTGATAGCTCAGAAGGGAGCACAGAGGCTTCTGGAAATCAGTATCGGGCTGTTTGGCCGTGGCAGTAAATGGGGGCTTGTCACAGACTACTTCTTTCCCTCTCCTTTACTTTGCAAAGTATGTGGTGTTGCTAGGTACTATCCAGTTGACTGTTGGTGTGAAACTTTTTCAGGACTGGGTTCTTGGGTACCAGCAGGCTCTAGTGAAAGGTTTTGTCAAGGACAGGAGAGGCCTGGGTTTAAAGTAAGGAACTAGAAAACTTGGAACTTACTGTCAAGAACAGTTCTTGTATCTTCAGTCTGTAAATTAAGATTTCAAATGACTGAGCTGTGTTGGCTACATATGCTTTTATTGATCTGCGCTTAGTGTTTTGGTTTTTTATGTGATTGCAACAGAAGAAAGCTCTGGGGAAGCTTAAGGCTGTAGGAAGAACTAAGGCTGTCTCTAGAGCAGCCTGTATATCAACAGCAATTTCTGTAGCGGTGCAGAGTTCTTCAAAGTTGGAGTCCAAGAAGGTTTTACTGCATGGACGAAAACACCCAAGGATGTGAGCATTCTGGAGAACAGCCTTCAGGCCTCTGAGGGGTAGACGTTGGTCACCAAGTACAGCAATCGAAACTTCAGGTTTACCATGGTTGAACCTGCCTATTAGCAATGCAGATGGAGTTATTCTCCAAGGAGACAGTTGTAAATCTGTAGGAATAATTCATATCTGGCAGAGAGGACATAATTTTATTCATCCTCAGAAGAGCAAGACACTCTTCAGTAGTTTTGAATCTGCTTGTTTGTAGCTTCCCTTACTGGGTAGCTATTTTTCACATTCCCACTGTTTCTGGTAAACTTTCAGTAAATCATTAATATTAGAAAATGTGGAAGAAGGCTTATGTAATTCATGCCCTTTTTCAAGTGCCTCTCACAAGGAAACCTGATCTCAGGATACAGATATTTTTGTATCCTGATGCAATATGAAGGAGGTCTTTTTCCTTTTAAAGGGAAGGAGTGATTTTATTTGAGGTATTTAATCAACCATTGATATGAACCCTTTCCTCCTCATCTAAGACTTCATGCAATAAATAGCATGTATTTTGGGAAGATCAAGTTCAGCAGCACCATCACGTCACAGTGCTAGATAGACCACAGTGGTGATGTATCAAGATTGGCATTTCTGTATTTTGGTTCAGGAAAAACGTCTTGTTTTGTCAGTCTGTCTTGAGGAAAATGTTCATCAGAACCACTGCATATGCACGCGATCCCTCTCGTGAGAGAGGCATACATCAACATACACGTTACATTGTTACACCTGTTATTCTGTCAGTTATTAATCCCTAGAGAGAGAATGAAGTTTTAGAGCAGTGTTTGTTGGTTACAGATCAGCAAACATTTCTTCTTTATATTACATTTTCTAGTAAGAGAATTCCTCTTTAGCAGGAGAGCCAATACATATATTTTTGTTAACTTAGGAGCTTAGAACGTTTTAGGATATGCTCACCAGATAGACCCTTAAATATACTGGAGTTGAAGATAATTCATTAAACATGCAAAGTCTTTCTTAGTTACTTCTTGTCTCACGTTACCTGAAAAAAAGGACATCTATGTTTTAGCAAGGTCTTTGTTACCAATTAGAAGAAGCAATTGTGCCATAGAAATGCAAAAATATCATTACTTTGGATGAAAGTTTCTTTATTGCATTGAGCTATTAGAATCAGCAAGGTAGTATGTGAGCCTTAGTGACTGACTAACTTGATGGTACTATTAATACAAAATTGCTGGTCAAGAGCGCAATTCATGTATGTACATAGCATCAGTGAAGAGAAGTCAGTATATCTTGCAAAACCACAATTATTATGTAAGTAATGTTTCCTTAACTTGATTTGTGAGCTCTAAACCTTTTTTTCTTAAAAGTTCAGTATACACATCTCCTGTACTGAGTACAAGGTCTCTTTATCCCGTTATTTACGATATTCATTTTTTTCTTGCAGAGAGAACAATATTGAAGAATGTGGCTTGGAAATGTTTTTCTCAGTTGATAAAGAAATTCTAGGTGAAATCAAAAGCCATGATTTGAAACCAAATGGTAGCAACATTCTAGTCACAGAAGAAAATAAAGAAGAATATATTAGGTAAGAACAAATGAAGATTTTAAAATACACTTTTATGTCCGTTTTCTTTCTTTAGTTCTAGCAAGAAAAGATTGTCCAGCTATGTAATAATTTGAAGCACTGTTGAAAACTTGCCTATGAGTAATTGCTGATATTGGCAACAAATAGCAATTGTTGGGATATCATTTCTGAAAGAAAAAAATTGATGGAAATAAAAACCCACTTTTCCCTAATACTGAATTTAGCAGATGATTTGCTTTTTTTTTCCTAGAATTTTTTAAGTTAGCAGAATATCACAATGAGAAATATGAATGTCGGGTATTTTGGCAAATCACTGCATGCATGTGTTATGTGAATTATGCTGCTTCAAAGCCTACTCATATTCTAGTGAGCCATTTTTGTTTTAAAATGAACATTTTTGGATGCTTTCTTGATAATTTATAGTTTTTAAAGGTATTTAGCATCACTACTGGTTTTATTTGAACTAGCCTTATAGAACAGTTAGATCTTGGCATTTTTAACAACACAGTGTTATGAAAGATGGAATAACTTGTATTGTCCTAAACTAAGTATTACCATTGCGGTATGGGAATGTTTTAAAGCAATAGATTAGGAGGGAAGGATCTTTCACTAAGAATGATTAAAGAATAACAGCAAGAACAATAAGCTGGTTTATCTTGGTATCTCCCTTCCTTCCTTAACGTGCAGCAGTGTGTAAACTCCACTTTAAGGTGTGATCCTTAACGTATAAGCTTAGATGAAGAATCTGCTTAACAAAGAAAATCGCATATTGCAGGCACCAAATGAACTGAATTTCAGTGGAGTTCTCCTCTCTCTGTTATGATGATTTTTGTGAAGTCTGCATTTCCAGGGGGGAGGTGTAAGGGAGAAGGGAGTGGATTTTGTTTTTGTTGCGTGAGTAATCTGTGAAAACATTTCAGTGCTTCACAGAAACGGTAACATTTGCAGAAGAAGCGTTCTGGCATTTTGTAATTTTGCAAAGTATTAATACTGGGGTTGAAAATGGGGAGGATCTACAGAAAACCATTCTCTCCTAGTTTCCAGGAACCCAGGGAGAGCTCGGATTCCAGCTTCACTCCTACTCTTCGGTGTCTTACTCTGGGTCCTGCTTTAAGTCCCCAAAGTTTCTAGGATTGAAATCAAAAATTAGCCATCTCTCCTTTAGACTCCAATTCTCCTGACAGGTTAGGCTTGAATTCAGCATAATATCTGCTTCTCCCTGGGTTCAGGTTCTTCGGGTCTCCTGCCTGCTTTTCACCCTTTTATTAATGGAGAGTGGAGTTTCTGCCACAGAGCAAAGTTTCATGATTAACAGAAACAAATATGGAACTTTCCAAATGGACATAGTCGTTTCTTGGTAAGCTAGCAGTCCTACTTATCTTCACCAGTACAACTTGACCTAGTTTTTTTTTTTTACCTTTCCATGGATAATGATTGAGATTTCTGGGGAGAATATTAGACAAAGATAGCTCTGCATTTTTTTTTTCTTTTCTCAAATATCTAGGGACTGCTGTGCTCTCATTAATATAATCAGTGAATAGATGCTGCCTCCTCTTTGAGCCTAAAATACTTCCATAGCAGAATGGTTGGAATCATAGGGTTTTTACTTGCATTTAAAAACCTATTTGCACAAAGTAAAGGTTATGAATAAAATTATATGATGGTCTGTCCCCAGAACTTTCCAGACTTTCCATAGTATTTTTAACATAGCTTACAGTTCATCTCAAAATAGGCTAACAAAAGATGTGGACTTTGGGCAGCATGGACCAGTTTAAATTATCTTTCTGTATCTTCTTTTGCAGGCTAGTAGCAGAATGGAGGCTTTCCCGAGGTGTTGAGGAGCAGACACAGGCTTTCTTCGAGGGCTTCAATGAAATTCTGCCACAACAGTACTTACAGTATTTTGATGCTAAGGAACTGGAGGTAAAGGATTACTTGGCTGTCATTAGATCCAGTTAGTTGCACGTAACCCTTAAGTTTCAGACATTGTTTGAAGAACAGAGTTCACTAAGGCTGACAGCTCTGTTTTATAGGGGATAAGGAGAAAACTTCACTGAGTAGTATTTGATCAATGTGTTTCCCTTTGCTTTCCTCTTTGCCAGCCACTGATGCATTTCTAAAGGATAAGGTTCTGCCAACCCAAAATTTTTGTTGAATTGCTCTTGAAATCTTCACTTTGATTTACCCATGATTAAGGAATGAGTAACTTGACAGAATGGGAGATAAAACCAGATATGCAATGAATTACTAAATATAGAGTGGACCAGGCTCTAGTTGGTTTTCATCTCACAAAATTATACTTTTGAAGCATCTCTTTAATTTAAAAAGATGAATACCAAACAACTTATACTCAGCATAGAATTATATGGTTGGGCAATGATAAAGTATATGTTCTGGATTTGAATGTCCAAATGCAAACAATTATTCCCCTTTTCATGAATGGGACTCTTGCTGTTTTGTGGTCTCTCAAAATACATTTCTTAAGCAATGATTATTCTTTGTTGTGGAAGTTTTGGATAAAGTTTAAGGTTAAAATTGAGCGTACAATCTTTGCGGATACTTCCAAGTGTGGTACAATTGATGTTCTTTGTTGCTATGTGGGCAGCCGTAGAAACAGTGTGATAGCTTGTACTTGCATGTTTATTTCCTTGTTTCTTCCCCAAAGGTGCTTTTATGTGGAATGCAAGAAATTGATTTGAACGACTGGCAAAGACATACTATCTACCGGCATTATACCAGGACCAACAGACAGATAATATGGTTCTGGCAGGTTTGTAGACTTTGTTTTATTCTCAGAACAACAGAAGTTACAGAGCATAGCTACAACTGAGTGAGCAATAGCCAGAATTGCTGAACAGATCGGTAGCGTGTTACCGCTAATCCAGCTACTCTTAACAATTGTGTAATTTGTTAATCTATGGATGATGAGGTGAAAATGCAAATATCAAATGTGTACCACCCAAGTGTTTATTTCAATTATTATTTTTCAGTTTGTGAAAGAAATAGATAATGAGAAGAGAATGAGACTCCTGCAGTTTGTTACTGGAACGTGCAGATTACCAGTGGGAGGATTTGCTGACCTCATGGGTATGCATAATAGTCCCTCTAATGGATAGCTTTTTGGTTTGGTTGGTTTATGGACATTTTTATGAATTTTGTATTGAATGTTGTGTCCTCCGTATACTTCAGCTATGATAGAAAGGGTGGAGGAGGGCTTGTTATTACCCGTTATACTTTTGGGTTTCTTTCAAAATCACTTCTTTAAGTTTGTGTTTCACCACATGAATACTTTGATTTGGATAGAGTTGTGTAATGAAAGACAGATTTTTTTTGTTTTGTGTGATTAATGATAATCTAGTCTTGTTTTTTAAGTCTTTCATATTTCCGCTGTCATATATTAACTGCCGATACTAAGCTAGCTAGACCCATGTCTTATTGACTTGAATTATTACAGGGAGCAATGGACCCCAAAAATTTTGTATTGAAAAAGTTGGAAAGGAAAATTGGTTACCTAGAAGTCATACCTGGTGAGTACATAATAAATCAGAGTATTACTATGGTTCTATTTTTGCTGACAACAGCCTACTCAGATTGTTAGTCAATGGGTAATCCACTTAAATGGCTGCGATTGTGTGAAAACAAACACCAAGCTCCGCTAAACAATTTTATCACTGAATAAAAGTTGAGCTTCGGAAACTGTTCTGTGGCGTGGAGTAGATTCCATTATTGAAATTTGTGGATTTGTGTATTACTGAAAATTTAAAGTAATAAACAGTACTTTCTAAAGACGATGGGACTGATCTTTTGTTATCACCACGCTCCACCTTGATAATGAAATTAATAGCTCCGTTCACACTCCCTCTTCCCTAGAGAAAAGGTAACTTAACGCTTTCTTCAGTTAATGTTAATACTAAGTAAAAAGAAACAAGTTTAACTTTTCAAATGTGAGTAATGTCTCTAGTTAACCAACCAGAAAAATGTAGGGAGGCTTATTGCCAAATACACTGTATTTCTGGAAAACTACCTCTTTTCAAGAATTTGTACTCTTAACTTTTGCTCTCAGAAATAGACGATTTCAAGTCTGTGGTCAGCTTTTAGCAGGGTGTAAATCCAGGATTTTCCTGGACTTTCTTTTCCCCTTCCAACTGTAAAATAGCTGTGAATTAACTGTTGTATCAATTTTACATAGCAAAAGGTTTAATCACCCATACTCGTAGCAGATTTATTTTTGTGATGTTTAAATTCTTTTTCAATACTTATTTTTTACTTTCAGTTTCAATCGCTTAGACCTTCCACCCTATAAGAATTATGAGCAGTTGAAGGAAAAGTTGTTATTTGCAATTGAAGAAACAGAAGGATTTGGGCAAGAATAACTAGCTATAATTTGCACCTTGAAGAATGTGACCTCGACACATGATGTATGTTCTTCACTTCTTCTGCTTATTGCACACTTCATTGTAAAGTAGACTTGACTTGGATCTATTTAACAAATACTAGCGTGTAAGTCAATGGATGTTATCCTGAGGTTTTACCCACGTTAACTCTGGATTTCTACTGAGCACTTTCAGAAATCAAATGAGCAATCAGATGAATTATGAACTAAGTAGATATTTAAAACAGCTTTGGGCTCTGCTGTGTTTCACTGTTCATTAATTAGAATGCGTCCTTAATGACTGACAGATTTGTAAGAATAGCTTTGTCTTTCCTTTTTAGTAGCATTTTTTGCTACTGATGCACTGGGAAGTTCATTGGTAGCTGCAGTGCTGCAGCATCCTCATAAGCCTCTTTACAGCAGTGTTATTGGAGCCGGCTTGTAACCATCCTCTGGGTACTATGAGCAAATTCATTGCTTATGCTCTTTTTTTCTAACTCAAATGTGGCCAGACTGTTTTTTTGCCCACCTGGAGTCTACTCACATGCCAGCTGGATTCAAGCTGCTGTTAAGGGGATGTAGAAATGTGGCATAAAGCCAGGGCATAGCTTTGCTTTTTTCTTTTTTCCCCTAAATCCATCTTTTTTTGGCAAAATAAACAGCTGCCCAAAGTTGTTGGAACACTTTCATGTGCCCTCAGAAGAATTCTGGTATTTTTCTGCGTAACACATTTTAACTTTTACAATGATACACTGTGGTACTTCACTCATTTTGCAAAAGTCAAGACCACCTGGGATTGCACTGATGCCATTTAGATTCATGTTCGCAGACTGATGTTTCTTGTCAAAAGTGTTAATGGGAATTATACTCAGTGTTATTCATACATGTTGCAGTCAGTTTTCTCTGAATCTTTTACTGGGCTCTCAGGAAGAGGTATAAAACAACTGGATTTAAAATGATAATACTTATCTCTTTTTTTGTGATGAACTGATGTGTGATATTGGCTAAGGCTAATAGAGCTATAAAGTTCAGACATGGATTACAGATTTTTGAAATGTTGGAGCATCAGTAAATAATTCTATAAAGATTAGAACTAAAGAATTTAGGGGAGGCTTCTAAATTAATTCTTCCCTCAGCTGCTTGTAGCTCGTAACTTCTGTAGTGAGTTCTTATTGGATCAATAACATCTTTTACTTCCTTTTAGGCTCTGTTAATGTTCAATTCTCTTCTGGTTTACAATGGCATTTTACATTTTACTGCTTTTTTAGACTGAATGCACTTTTTGGGTATGGTCAGCTCTTTTCTTATCTGAAGGGAGGAAAGCAAACTTCGATGAGATGGGCTGTTAGCCATAGTAAGAGATGTGACACTTGAAACAGCATGTAGCACATGTTAAAGCATAACTGCAGCTCAAAGCGTTGGGATAGGAGCAGTTTAAGAGCCTTCTAGATGTAGAGCTGCAACAGGACTATGGAAAACTGTAAAACTGAATTCTAGTCTTGAAAAGAATATTTCTTTCCTACTATTCTTTCAGTCTTAACTGTAAGATGGAAAAACTGATTCAGGGCTAAGAAGAACCAAGACACTACAGTTCTATAACTGACTTCAAGAGAATTTTTCAGGTCAAATAAAGTGATGCATGCCTACTGGAAGGCAGAATGGTTAGACCCTACAGTGTACGACTCTTGCCATGCATATTTAAGAAAAACGTAAAGAATTTCTGATGGCATAGAAATGACTTGTTTTAACTTCTCGCTGGTGGTGAGAACTAACCTGACTTCATGGTTTTACGAGGAGGAAGATCTGCCAGCTTCAAAATATTTGCTGGCTATATTACAGTACACAGTTCATGAGGAGAAAAAGCCTTATAAATATTTTCTGTTGATGTTAATTCTTACAATGAAATCTAGTTATCTAACATATTTACAAGAGAGATTAAATTAAGCAAGATAATGCAAGATAAAGCTATGAAAAATAGTTTGTGTTCTGCATAATGCTTTATGATTCATGTAGGGAACCTAGAAATACTGTTAATGTATAAATATCACCCAAAAGGCTTTCAGCCCTATATTTTTAAAATAAAGAATAGTTATAATTGAAATAGCCTTAGCCCTAGTTCTATAGGGTATGGCTGTTTAATATTTTTATGGTTGAAATGTTTAGTTCAGGAAAAAGGTAAATGCTTGTATATATTTTTGCAGTCTGGGATTCCACTTATTCCATTTTTTTCTTTCTTTCTTTAATTTAAATAGCATGTTTATATGTCTTTTCTGCTGTATTAGGATGGGGGAAAGGGGGCTGGATATCCCAAGCACCAGAAATAATTTTCAAATATTGCAAATAAAAAATTCACTTGAAAAAAATAATCTTTAGAACATTGGATTTGCCCAAAATATAAGAATTTAAGTTTACTCTGTTAAATTAGCGATATTTCTGAAGTCAGAATTAAAGATTACTTGCACATTTCACTTTGTAAGCATTGTAAATGCTAACAAATCTGTTAATTTTCTACAGCATGTTGTGTAGAAATAAAAAGGAATTAATATGAGCCACTGATTTACTCTTCTGTTCTTTATGGGGGTCTGGTGAAAACATCACACGGGTAAGCCCACAGTGCATAGCATACCAGATAATAAGTTGCTATGAATTGGACTACAAGCTAGACTTTCAGCACAGAGTAATGAAGACATCTCCCACTGCTTCAGCTGACTTAGCAGCCTAAGCCCCATAAATTCATGGGGTGTAACAAGTGTATATTCATGTGCAACTGTCAATTGATCCAAATTTACAAGTAGCAGAATAACTTTTATTTAGAATTTTGCCTTATGAAAAGGACATGAGAATTAATGAACCGCTGAGCCACTGATCTAAGATTTAACAAAGCCTTACTGTCCTGGGTAGTTCAGGACACATTAATATATTAATGAAGTGCGCAGTAAATGCGTCATGTCTTCATCTGATTTAGTATGGAATTTTATTTTTTTTAATCCAGTTGCTTGTGTTAAAGCTTGATTTTTTTTTTTCCTATTATCTGTGAAACATGAAAGCAAAAAAAAAAAATCCTGCTTTTTTTTTTGGGGGGGGGGGGGGGGTTGTGTTTTCATTACATGCTGCGCTGGATTTGTAATCTTGACTCTGTTATATTGGTATCTCCAGCCCCCTTTTTTGTGGTGTCTTTTAATTTTCTTTCAGAATCATTGTTTTTGTGTATATGTGCTCTAGTGAACTAGTACATAAACTGGGATCAGCAGCACTGGATTGTAAAATACTGTACTGAAATTTGTTGTTGAAATTTCCTTGCATTGTAATTTCAAATACTCAGGTAACTGTAACAGTATCTCAGTAAGTCAAATACTTTTATAAAACTACTTAAAGAGCTGGTTGTCTTGTCATTATTCCTTCTGCGTTATGAAGCATACATGTACCTATCCAATGTTGTCTGTCTGCTCTGTGGGGGCAAAGCTGAGGCTGCGTGAAGTCGTCCTTCTAGCAAAGTTCCTTCGGGAATGTTTCTTTCCTGAGAACTCTTCTGCCATTGTTTACACTATGGAAATTTGTTAGACATCAGGCTCTGTGCGTGGCTGCCTTTGTGACTGTTAAAATCTCCAGCTAGAATAAATCCTGAATCTAGTGCTAAAAGATCACGGGGATACTACCCCAGGAAGCTAGTGAGGTTGCTGGGCTGTGAACAACAGTCTTCTGACTCTGCAGGAGATGCAGCAGAAGTAAGGAGGCCATTCTAGGTGGCTGGCTGTTTGGAGAGAGGGAAATGGTCTGGAGAAAGATTGTATAAGAGCCATAGCTTTAGCGTTTTCTTTTATCGCTACTGCAGAGATAACAAAGATGAGATGTGATTGTGATGCAAGTTTGTTTTTTCTTTCCTGTTCAGGAATGAGGGGATGACAGGAAGTCGGAAAAAATATATTACAGTTTTTACTTAGAGATTGTCTAGGACAAAATCCCAGATTCCTAATGGAAACATTTTCATGATCCTTCATTGTATCATTGTGATTGAAATAGAATGACTTGTACTGTAGAAGGGACTTTTGCAGCTGCTATTTCTATTAATGCTTACCAAAACAGGTCTGGCATGTTGCTGATTTTTTTTGTGATGTGAAACTACTGAGAGTACAAGTTGCATAGTACTTAAAGAGAGGTTGGGGGGGGGGGGGAAGAAAGAAAAAAGTGGATCTGGGATTCTCTATGTCCTAGTTCTCCCGCATGCCATAATGTGACTTAATATGACCAGATGCAACTGTGTCTCAACTCTCATTGCCTCTTGTCCTGTCACCAGGAACTGAGAAGATTCTGGCTTAGTCGTCTTTGCTCCCTGCTATGAATTATTTATACACATTGATAAGATCCCCCTGAGGCTTCTCTAACAATGCCAGCTAAACAGTACAAGTCTCTCAGTCTCTACGCATAGGGACAGCTCTACTCCCTTAATCATCTCTATGGCCTGTTGTTGGACTTGCTCCAGAAGCTCCATGTCTCTCTTGTACTGCAGAGCCCAGAACTGGACACAGTACTCCAGATGTGGCCTCACCAGGGCTGAGTTGAGGGGGAGGATCACCTCTTTTGACTTACTGACATAGCTTTTCCTAATGTAGCCCAGGTTGGTGCTGGCCTTCTTTGCTGTGAAAGGAATGTTGCTGGCTCATGGTCAACTTGTCCACCATGACTGCCAGGCCCTTTTCTACAGAGCTGCTTTCCAGCCAGTCATCCTCTAGCCTGTACTGGTGCATGATGTTATTCTTCTCCAGGTGAAGGATTCTGCACTTCCATTTACTGAACTTCACGAGTTTCCTCTCTGCCTATATGTGGAGCTACCACAGAATGGCAGCACAGCCCTCTGCTGTGTGAACCAATCTGCCTAGCTTTGAATCATCTGCAAGCTTGATTAGCGTCACTCTGTCCCATCATCCAAGCCATTAATGATGTTAAACAGTACTGACCCCTGTATTGACCCTGGAGGTACACCACCCATGACTGGCCTCCAGCTGGACTTTGTGCTGCTGGAGGCCACCCTCTGAGCCCAACAGTTCAGCCAGTTCTCAATGCCTCTTGCAGTCCATTTATCTGCTCTGTACTTCCACAGTTTGGCTGTGAGGACGTTACGGGAGACAGCGTCAAAAGCCTTATTAAAGTTGAGATAAACGACATATCCATGTCTCTCCCCTTGTCCACCAAGCCAGTTGTCTCATTGTAGAAGACTCTCGGGTTGGTCAGGCATGATTTCCCCTTTGTAAATCGATGCTGACTGCTCCCAATCACCTTTTTGTCTTCAACACGTTTGTAAGTGGCTTCCAGGAGGGTTTACTCCCCAGCCTTCCCAGGGATTAAGGTATGGCTGACCAACCTGTAGTTCCTGGATCCTCTCTTCTGCTGTCCTTGAAGATAGGAGTGACATCTGCTTTCTTCTAGGCCTACCATGACCTTTAAAGGTAATTGAGAGCAGCCTCACAATGACATCAGCCAGGCTCCCTCAGCACTTGTGGGTGCATCCCATCAGGGTTTATGGGCTTGTGGATGTCGAGTTTGTTTATATGTTCCCTAACCTGATCCTCCTCCACCAAGGATAAGTCTTCATTGCTCCGGACTATCCCCTTGTTCACACAGATCTTTACACTACTCACTTTCCACAAGTTCACATAGTGAAGCTCAATAAACCCAGTTTCATTAGTAGGAATCAAATTCAGAGTTTGCTTTTCTATGCAAAGTAAATATGAGCAATAGGAAGTGCCTCTTCTGTAGCAGAAGAGGTTGGTTTCAGGTTGGTTAATCCATGCTTACATGGTATCACTTAAAAGCATGCTAGCAAGTAGCATAGATTTAAATGTGACACCTTTCTGGGCAGTTTTAATAGAGCTGTGCAGATATGTCACAGCTACTTGAAGTTAAAAAAAAAAATCAGAACTGTATGAAAAATGTACAACTTCAGTTTCACCACTACATTAATTCCTTCTTCTATGAGGTTGCTAATGGTGGTACTAGTCCTCATGGGATGTTGGGTTTTTTGTATGTTGTAAGCTGCAAGTTCTCTGTTCCTTGTCTGGTTTAGACCTTTGATGGCACCTTTGCATTGCCTACTTATTGGCCAACTCTTACGTTCATTGGTAGGTCTAGGAAGTTGAATCAAGCTATGGTAAAATGTCTTTCTGTAGCCAACCTTTAGAACTTATTGCTGGACTGAGAAGAGATACTAGCATTAAAAAGAACTAGGTTGCAGAGCTGTAAATATCCACTAAAACAGAAAATAACAGTATCTCTATGATCCAAAAGGATTATTTCTGATCTCAGAAGATGTCTGATCCCATGTTTACTCTCCACCCTCACCTTCCCTACCAACTCTATAGTAATGAAAAAATGACAATGTTCGTTAGAGAAATTCTGTTTTCTTTGAGCCATCGGAAAGTAGCCCCTGCTAAGAACAGGATTCCAGATTTGAGGGGCTGGTGACCTGATCTGCTATGGCAAATCTTGTTTTTCAAAGTGTCTTGGAAATAAATGAAAAAAACTTTTATCAGGTCATTATTCTACTTTCTGTAATATCTTTTCTATGTGAACAACAGACTGCTTTTTCAGCGCCATTAATTTGAACTCTGTTCTTAAATGTGGACAGTCACTGCTTTTGATCATTATAAAGCAGTTGGAAATGGCTACGTTCAATAAGACTAAGCTTTAAAAAAAGGAGTTGAGTCATCGCGTAAGGTGGATTTCCACGTGCCTTTGCTTAAACGTCTGCTTTCTGAAACCGTTGTGGGCAGTTCAGTGTCCGTTTTGTGTGCACGTACTGCTCACAGGATTGCAACGCTCAGCGAAGCAACATTTGATCCAGATAGAGGATGAACTCCAGGTAAACACGAGAGGAATCCAACAGACTTTGTTACTGCATACATTTAATGCCAACTACGTTCGGTATGGTTTGGGGAGGAGAGGTGGTTGCAGTTTTGCTGTAAGCATTTAGGACATCTCAAATCCTTTCCAAAGGCTGGCTGAGCACCAGGCCGCTTAACACACCGTGCAGAGGGAGCAGACACGACGACCCCCGTGACAGGAACCCCCAGGGCTCAAGGCCGGCAGGTTCCGAGGCGCTTTGTCCGCGCTCGCGGGTCAGGAGGCAGCGCACGGCGAGGCCCGGGCCCACCG